TCGGAATCAGAATCGATAGATCGTGGCCGCTTTTTTCTAGAAATAAAGAAATACGAGTTTGTTTAGAACGTAATTAACAACTACTAACTGTTATACTTTAATCAAATAGTTTTCCATGTCCTTAGATCTTCTTCGTTGAAGCATTCTCTCAGCCTCAGGGCTGACAGATAGTAGTTTTGTAAATCAGATCTGAATTGCCTACACTATAATGTTAGGAGATCTCAGTGTAGTTAGGAATGAGTTCCAGATTCTAGTTACACGAATAAAAAGGAGTGTTGGCAGGTAGAGGTTTTGCTTTTGGCTGGCGTAAGGAAATTTTTGGTTGCACCTGGAGGATCTGGTAGATCTAGTTTTAGATATACCTCCGGGCAGGAGGTCACGGGACACGTCGACCAAGCCATTCACCGCTTTAAAAAAGAATACTAGATCCAGATACTCATGCCAGTAGGATAGCAATAAGAGGCCTAAACGTTCAAGTTGTTTCCTAGAAATCTCATCGCACAGGTACGGAAAAGACGACCAAACCTGGCTTGAGTAACCAATTAACCAAATACATGGAGACTTACAACAATAGTTATGGCTCATCAAAAAACGATCCCTTCTCCAAAAGTTTTAATTATTGAAACGAGTTTGAAATATAACTTTTAGGGTGAGTTGATATCTCATGAGGTAACATTATAATTTAAATTTTGTCCGTCTTGTCAGAACATTAGATTTTTTGAAAAACAAATAATATAATGTTATTTGCTTACTGCCTGGAGGTATTCAGTGACTTGGAACGTAAACTTTTGGAAGGAGTGATTTCAGCAGCGGATAACAGCGGGCTATTACAAGGTTCGCTTCTGCAAGACATTTGTGCATATCTAAAATAAATAATAAATAATTATTCATAAGTTTTTAACATTTATTAGATGATAACCTTGATATAATTATAACCTAATGCAGGAGTTTACTTAATAACCACCTTTCCTGTTCGTTCGCTTCGTTCATCATCACTTCGACATCCACATTTTGTTCCTTCTCTCTAAATAACAGATAAAGTGTGAGGAACTGAGTTCAGAACAAAAAATAGAAGAATAACTTATGTTATGAAGAGAGAGAGAGAGAGAGAGAGATTTAAAACGGAAACAAATATTATATATCAAACTACATTTACCTTTTTTCTCTGCCTTGATTTAATTCACCTGTCAGATCAATAACTGCAACTTGCTTTTGCTTATCTTTAAAAGGTTCGCTTCTATATATAAAAAACATTTCTTTGTTAAAAAACAATTTTTCACTTTAATTTAAAAAAAAATGTGGAAAATAGTCTGCCGGGTTTTTTAACATAAAGCGACAAAACTGGCCCTTGGCTTTGGTCTCTCTTCATATGCTATTACTGGCCCATTACTATGTTGCACGCTGCAGTGGTAACATCATAGGAACGCAACACCGTATAAAACTATAGTAAACACTATGTTTTGTACACAATATAATTGAGCTTTGAAACGTGATAAATAACAAGTTTTTTATCTGCTGTGTGCTTATTGGGTTCGCGCAGTTACAAGGAACAGTTTACTTCAAAACCTTCGATTCGCGTATAAATCTAAATTTACCGTTTTTTCAATTCAAATGTTTGTTCTTCTGCACTCTTGGAAAGTAACTGCTGTAGCTGATTCATTATTTCTGAAGCTGTCGGCCGGTCATCAGGATTAAAAATGAGGCATTTTTTCATCACCGCGATAACTGGAGCCCAACTGCTTTCCTGTTGCAAGGCATACTTTTTAGATTGAGTTGCATATTTCTGTTGCTGCAGGATACGAGGTAGTTGCTTTTTTAAAGGAGCATCCTTCTTAAGATCAAGCTGGAATGGATATTTAAGGTTCGGATTTACCAAATTAAATAAAACCATTCCAAATGCCCACATGTCCACTTTTTGAAGACTGTCGAAATTAGCAGCTTCTAAACGACACGACTCGATCTGTAATTCGGGTGCCATGTAAACTGAGGTACCTCTATAAAATGATAAATATGATTACTATAGCATTTACTGCATTTAGCAGAAAAGTAATCACTATTATTACTGACGATGATACTGACGATGATAAAATTGCAGATGCCTTCAATCAATATTTTTCCACAATTGGCAGTACGTTGTCTGACAAGATCACAGGTAACTGCACTGATCCAATGAACTTTGTGACTCCTCTTGATGGTAGTATATTCAACTTTACAAGCATT